TAAACTGAACATACAGGACCCATAGAGAAGAGACTGCTAAACTTTTCCAAAACAAGGAAGGATGATCCTTCAGAGTTACTGCTCCATAGACGAAACTGCCAGACATTCTGCAGGACACAGAGGAAAGCAACTGATGAACTTTGCCAATATAGGTAGGACAGTCCTTCACATTTCCTGCTTCAATAAAAAGTCTGCCAGATACTCTTAGGCCTGTAGGCTGAAGATGGATGCCCCAACATTACAGAAGAACTTTGGGTGACTGTCCAGGCAGTCAGATGTCTCTATCATTTCTAGAGTTTTGGTAATTGCTTGAATTGTACTTCCTGTTTACTCAGGTAATATTATATCCTTCTAGGGTCTTTGATGAAGTTGAACACTAGATAGTTATAGTTTTCCATAGTTATGATAAAGGGTAAATTAGATATAAAACTTTAAACTCACAAAGATAGGATAGATGATAGAGCATTTTCTTTAATTTTGCCAAATAAAAATAGAATGGCTATTGTAACTAATTCTTACTTGATAACTGTTTTTGTTGTATATAATTTTACTATGTTAAAGTTAAAACCTTCCTTTTATTAGATAGAAAAGGAAAATGCTGTGGGATGTTCTTCTGTATGCTATGAATGCATGTTGCTCTCATTGGTTCATAATAGAGTTTTGGCCTATGGCAACAAAAGATATGGTTGGGCAGTAGAATCAAACTAAGGAGAGGAAGAAGAAGGGCAGAGTTGGGGCAAATGCCAGCAGCTGCCCAAGAAGCAAAATGCCAGTGCACTGGTAAGCCATGGGCCATGTAGTGATGCACAGATTAATAGAAATGGGTTACTTTAAATGTAAGAGCTAGTTAGTAATAAGCCTGAGCCATTGGCCAAATATTTATAGTTAATATAAGTCTCTGTGTGGTAATTTGGGAAGTGGCTGCTGGGTATAATCAGGTGGATGGGGCAGACAGTTCCATCTTCATTTACAGTCTACAATTCCTGGATCACAATGAAGACTCTGATCCCAAAGGCAGAAAATAAAAGGTTCCATTAACTTTTATGGGATATCATTTCCAGATCCTGAATTGAACAACATGACGTAGGCTTACATAGAACTTTTGGCCCCATGCAAACTGATAAATGATAAGCTCTCAGGTGATTAATGGAAGACCAACTTTCAATCTTGTATAACACACTGATAAGATGTCTCAAGAGAACATTTGATGTCAACATCTGTAGTAAACGACTAAACGAAAAAAGATTTTTTTTTTGCTTTTCTGTTTCTTTTACAATTAATGTTTCTTATGGATCTGGAATTACACAGAAAAAGAAAAGGGCATTTTGGGGGCATATAATCACAATTCATGGGATTCCCTAAAATATTTTCCACAAGTTATATCAGTGTATGATATCTCGGAAACAGAGCCAAGAAGAGGATGTGAGATCCCCTGGATTTAGAGTTGGAGAAGTTTGAAAGCCATTAGGCTGAGAATGGAACCAGGGTCATCAGGAAGAGGAGCCAGAGATCCTAACCACTGAACCATCTCTCCAGACACATGCAATATAAATTTAATATGAATACATGTTACATTCCTGTGATGGTCTAGAATGTAGTGAGCAGAAAACACACTGATGAAACAAGACCATGCACTTATAAGGGTCTCTAATGAAAAGGCAGAGATGCTGGGCTCCTGGCTAGTAATGGGAGTTCAAAGTTCCTGTGTTACTCAAAAAAAAAATCATTGTATTTGTGAGCTGGAAAATGTCTCATAGACATGAAAGGTAAACCTGACCCAGGCTACTCTGTCTTCTTATAGTTGAGAATAATGAATTCAGACAGCTTTATGGAAATACCAGTGTCATATATTCAGTATGTGAGGTATCATTAACTATTCCATGATAATATATTAGGACAGAAATAACCCACAGGCATCACACACACACACACACACACACACACACACACACACACACACACACACACACTTCTTATGACTGGTATCATGCAGAAACTCAAGCTGTATTCTATGCTAGCTTGGACACAATGATGTAGCTGAGGCTTTCTTCCAAACCATGGCCATTAAACTGGTCCAGCCATCCAAGTGGAGGGATTACAGACATGAGGCAACACATGTGAGAAATGCTTCCGCTTATAAAGTGACTCTACATGTAAGAAACGAAGAAACTTCTGGTTACAAGTCATCATTTCAGTGGATAATCTCATAAAGACAAGATAATATACCTCTCAGAATATATTGCCTTTTCTGCTCTTTCTCAAATGATCAGTGTATCATTACCTTTGGATAGTAGACATTTTCTTGGCCTGAAATCTTTGATCAGGAACATCAAACCATTTTTCATATAGATTAGAGCAGAGTAAGCTTCCTTGAATATTTTGAAGAAAATCCTTAAATACATTAAAAAAAACAAGAATTGTAATGGTCAATATATATTAGAGATATTATTGAGAAGTGTTTTTGCTGAACAATATCACTTTAGACTCCACTTCCTTCAACATTTCACAAGCTGTCACCCATCTGTAATCTAGCTTAAACACTACTGACCTTGGCACTCAGAAGCAGGAGCTTTGATTTTCTTACCTAAAACTGGAGTCAAAGTGTAGCTAGAGTCTGACACTGCCTGCCGCTTCCCAGCTCTATTCTCCTCCTTGTCCCACCTATACTTCCTGCCTGGCCACGTCAAAGGAACAGAGTTCTGGAGATAGCAGGAAAGGAGTAAACTAACTCTCTATTCAATACATTCTTCCTGGACACAATAAACTACCAAAATCAGACAGGGCCAGAGAATACCTCATGCTAATTCTACATTATATTGAAAGCACACTTGGAGTAGAGCCAAATATTTTCACATGGAATTCCTGAGTTAAACGTGAGGAATTCTCAGTTTCACATTCATTCCCTCAACTGTGGGAAAATTCAGCACTAAATTGTAAGTAGTAGCTAGGTTGGTGGACATGCAAATCCCTGTATTTGGCACCTTCAAACCCCATTGTTTGATCACATACACACATACACTTCAATTTCAAAAGTCTAGGCCTTTTAAAATGTGTGCAGTTTAGTATATACTGGGGATATCAAAACTCAAAATTATGCAATGAAGTCTGAGTTCAGGGGATAGAGTGGATTTCAAATACAAAGAAGTCTCAAAATAAAAATACATAAATAAGAATAATTGAAAAAAGTATTTTGCCAAAAAAAAAGAGGAAGATGTCAAATCACCTTATTTTCTTTAAATTCACATTTTCTATTTTCTCACTAAATAGTTTGAAACAGTTTGGTATTAACTAGTTCAGGAGATACTACAATCAACTTTCATGTTTATAACCTCATACAAGTTGGCTTCTTTCAATTATTTTTGAGCTGCTGTAAGTAAGGGTCAGGCATGGTTTGAAACAGCAAGGATAGAGAAATGTGAAAAATGGAAACAAGCCAAGTCTTCTTGTAAAATTAAGTGCTACTGTTACATATGGCAGCCTTCAGTTTGTTCACCATAGTGTGGTCCCAGTTTTCTAGCAATAGAGCAAGCAAGACTTGGCAAGCTCCCAGAGTCAAGGAGGATCAAGTGATACATTTGCCTGATGTCACAGAGCTTGTCTGGTCTCAGAGCACTGTCTCTTCTCTGCATGTCTGGGCCCATGGCTCCACAATCTACTGCATGGTGAACTCAGAGTACATGCCCCAAGTAAACCAATGGAATGTTCTCTAAAGCCACTGCTTATACATAGCTTCCTGGCAAATTCAATGTGGTAGACTATTCATGAGTGGGTCAGGGTAACTGTTGATTATTTGACAAGGGATTAGTAAGCCAACATCTGGAAAATGTAAAAGCATTTAAGTTTATTTTTTGCTACAAAATGAAATTGATTTCATAGGTGTACTGGACAGATGGTAATATCTAACTCTCCTTCAACCCATAACATGTCAGTGGTAGACTAGCCATGCTGAACCCTTATTATTTATGGATAATATTTGTTTGGGTATTCATCCATTAAGACGTGTTTTGCACTTCACACTTTTAACACTATTGTACTTTAATTTTGTTATTATTCTACACAGTGTAGTCAGAGGTGAAATCAATTAAGTGGTTTGCAATGGCAAACCAAATCACATATAACATACAGGGATGTTAACTTCCAGACTTTTATCTACCATGCCTCATCTCCTCAGATTGTCATGTTGAAGGAAAATATTATTATCAGTTTAGCTCAAGGAAGGAAATGACTCATGCATTGCTACAGGGATGTGGAGTATGGATTATGCTAAACTCTCTCTGCCTTTAAGACAGATAGATTCCTTGCACAAATTCAATTCTTCCTCAGAATCGAGCTTTGTTTTTAGGGATACATGTGATATATTGGCTTCTGATCTAAAAATTCCCTCCTTTTCTGGTCCTTTTTTATTGATAATAGACAGAAGATCTTGTGTGGGAGTAAGACAAGCATCTAGCTTTATAATTCTATACGTTTGAAGCACCAGTATGTCTCTTACTGTGAAACAGAGCAATGGCAAATGAAGGAAATTCAGAATTTTCTTTCTTTTTTTCACTTCTAAATATATTTTCTTCCCTAATCTACTTGTCCCAGTTCGAACACTGGAGTTTTATTTAGATCAGACACTCCTTAGCAGTGAGTTGATGATTTAAAATCACACTCCTGTGTCTTTAAGTTAATGATCTTCTCTTACTATTCCTTTTCTACAATGAATATCTTTCCCAAACATTCTCAGTTGCTGTTGGAATATTACCCTTTCAGTGACCCAAATGCTATTCATATGTCCTGCCTGCCCTGAAATCTTTTATTAGTTTTTAAATCTGTGTTCTCTAGGAAGGTTTTTCTAATTCACTTTTTTGAAAGTAACTTTCATATCCTTCTGCTCTGACCTCTTATTTTCAACTTTCCCATGTAGAAAGATGCTGTCAGCGTCAAGAACGAACACATGGGAATTGCAATCCCTCTTCCATTTTTGCACTATATAAAAATGACTACCATACACAAGCTAAGAATAATTACTTTATTTCATTTGAAAAGTGGGTTGATGATAATTGTAGTCACCAGAAATGTTTGCTACAAAATATCAAGTTATTGGCAGTAGTTATCATGTATCTGAGACAATAAACATGCTCACATGAAGCATAAATTCCTGACACTGAGTGTAGTGTCATCCATCTTAGGATGGATGCTCAGCACCTATTATATATTTCCAATGGCCAAAGTAGTAATTAATTCGAAATAGCACAGGCTACATTAAATTGTTTTTAAACTATATTCTATTAGGCTTAAATGATTAACATATTGTAGAGAGCAATATTTATGTCTAATCCCTTGGAAATACAAACCAAACACTCCATGTATTTTTTATTGTAAGATGGTATAAGCGCAGACACAATGATATTAAGGAGACCTCTTATTTCTAGAGAAAGTAGCATTCAGATGATATCACCATATGGGGGTATGGCTAAGAATGGACTCTGACCCACTTGGAACAGAGTAGCAGCAGGTTCTGTATGAAGTTGCTTTCTGTGGCTAGAATTCAGCTTGCCTTTTATTTCCCTAACTTGAAGCCTTAGCTGAGTGGGGTCTTAGCCCTGGGGCACATTTCCTATGCTTACAATTAAGCTTAGGTGTCTTTTCTTTAATTAAAATTATGTCAAAAATTAAAACTCCTTCAAAATTACTGCCTCTGTTTTAGTATGTGACTACCAACTAAAGCTACCTAAGTTCTGGATTAAAGGCATGAGCCATCAGGCTCAGCTTGTCGATCCTTTTTTGAAGTTGGTAATTGTTGATACTGTTTCTTTGATGCACACTCAATCCTGTTGTTCTGTTTGTGGCTCTGAATATCTGTTAGGAGGCATTTCTCTTGCAATGCCATATCCTATTGAATGGGCTCTGAAACAAGAAGGGTGACCCTACTTTCCTCTTTCCTTTTAAAATGACTTGTTTTTTTTTCTCCCCAAACACACATTTCATTACTTTTGTCCCAATTGTTGCTCTTTTTACTATAGATCCATATGAATCATAAGGACTAACCATATCACTGACTCAATGTTTTGTCAAAGAAGCCATTACTTTTTAATTGTGCCTAAGTTTCTCAAGCCACAGCCAGAATGCAGACAGATTTCTTTGCCAAAATATTACACAGATGACCTGTCTAAATTACTGTTTTACTTCTGTGAAGGGACATCTGACAAATCAACTACTATAACAGAAGGCTTTTAATTGGGGGCTGCTTACACTTTTCAGAGGATTAGTCCATTATCTTCATGGCAGGAAAGATGGCAGTAAGCAAGCGTGGAGGTGAGAGTTTACACACTTGGCAGGCAGAAAGGGAGAGCCCATTTCTAATGACACATCTCCAACTACACCATATCCCCTAATGTTTCCCAATCAGTTCCACTAATTGGGGAATACGCATTCAGATATATAACCTTTTAGGGACCATTCTCATTCAAACTACCACATGACCTCTAGCCTAGTTTTTTAATGTAGTTTATTTCCCACTGAATCCTCATGACCTTGACCTCCACTATCTAAATTACTCTCAGCACTCTCATTTTCCAGTTTTTCCTGGAATGGCCCTTTAAGAACTGTGTAGAGCTTGCAATTGCTTTTGATATCCAGAGTCCTGCTATCTTTTGAATTCTTCCAAAATACAACATTTGCAGATTCTTATAGCAACAACCTCATTTTAAGGCTACCAATCTTTGTTCTGAATTTCTTTTCTGTTTCTATGATTAAATCCTTTTACCAAAAGCAAATGAGGTTATGAACAGGTTTATTTGGCTGAAACTGCCAGGACACATTCAATCATTTGAGAACTCAAAGGAAAAAAAAACTCAGGCTAGCAAATGAAGGTTAAAAACCCATGGTGGGACATTGTTTGCTTGCACCTTCTTTTACCTGGTCAATGTCTCTTGCTCAGCTTACTCTCTTATCTAGTCTAGGCCACTTGCTTAGGGATACTGACAACCTCAGTGATTAGGCCTTCCCACTCAATCAACAATCAAGGTAATCTCTCAGGTATAGCCACAGATGATTCTGATCTTGGCCAGCCCTAAACTGGTACTCCTCAGATCATACTAGGGTATGTAACATTGATAGCTGAAGCTAATTAGGACACACAGAAAATAATAATATTGAACAATTCAAAGTCAATGTATTAACTATATCAATCATTTAATTAGCAAAAGCACAAGCAAATGTAGCAACAATTGGAAAACACAGATATGCCAAGAAATGAGAACAAGAAAGCCAGTGATGTTGAGAAGACAAAAACAATACTACTTCTTTACAGAAAGATCCTCCAAAGAACAAATTTCTAGAAAGTAATAAGATACAGTAGCCAATTTTCAGAATTTAAAAGTACATGCAAGTCCATCATTTTCTAAAAAAGAATAATAAATACTTAAGTCTATAACTAACAAAACTATTGCAACATAGACAACACTATTGATGAAAGACACAAACACAAACCTACAAATATAACATGGTCCTTTAAACAAAAACTATAAGATTCTAATGAAAATAATAAGACATTTATTTTTTATTATTTAAGAAATTACTGGCAAGCACTCACACTGTGTGCACTCTAGTGCTCTAATTTCCCAATAATAGAAACTGGTGTGTTTGGGGGACTATCCTTCCAAACTTGGAGAGATTTCCTTGGAGCACTCTGATGTTTAAATTTTGGAGATAATAATTTTAACCAATAAAAAATATTTCATTCTCTTATGATAAAGGAAATGATGGCTTTTATGATCAGTTATCAACTATTGCATGTTTCCAATGATTAAAGATTAGATGTAATTCTGTATTATAATGAGATAAGGTAAGGTAAACCTTTTAAAAACCCAAAGCAAGATAACAGATTTTTAAAGAAAAGTTGTATGATGTCTATTATACATAAAGCAACATGTTTTGCTCTAATTCATTTATAAGCCATAAGTGCTTTTGGCAAAATAAAATATTCCCATTTTTATGTGTATTTGTGTGTAAAAAAGAGAATGTCTTCCATGTGAATGTAAATGACACCCCAGAGAAGTGTGTCAGATCACCTGGATCTGGAGTTGCAGGTAGCTATGAGCCTCCTGACTTGGATGTTGGGATCTGATCACAGGTCATCTCCAAGAAGAGTATGTGTTGAGCTACCTGTGAAGTCCTAAAGTAATTATTATCCAATATACTAAATCTTTCACATATTATCAAAAACACGGGGCTGGAGAGATGGCTCAGAGGTTAAGAGCACTAGCTGCTCTTTCAGAAGACCTGAGTTCAATTCCCAGCAACCACATGGTGGCTCACAACCATCTATACTGAGGTCTGATGCCCTCTTCTGTCATGCAGGTACACATGCAGGCAGAACACTGTGTGCATAATAAATAAATAAATCTTTTTAAAAAATCAAAGAACTAAATAAATGGTGAGATATTCAATGATCCTTGTGAACAAGATGAATTAATATTACAATGTCCGGTATGTTGAATTTGCAGCAATAACTTCAACACACTCAAGGAAAACTCCCAACAATCGATAAAAGAGAAGCTGATTCTAAAGCTATATGGAAAGCAGAAAAACTCGTAATGCTCAATAGGATTGTGAAGAAATAATGCACACATTAACCCAATCTGACCTCTCTACTGAGCACAAAACTACAACAATCAAGAAAGGGTGACATATTTGTGAACAAATAAACTGATGGAAAGAAAAAGTCAAGAAAAAAAATCACAAAAGTATAGTGAAGTTTTAAACAAAGGACAGAGGAAACTCAGCCCGGAAAAGTGCAATATTGGCAGATGTTATCCAACTGTGTATGGTTCTATATGTATCGAGATTAAGTACACAAAGACTTCACAACTCCTCCCAAACTGACTTAAGGTGAACCCTAATCTTTTACGTTATTGACTCTGCAGCTGCTGATCTTATGGCCAACAGAGAGGCCCCACTCTCTAGAGCTATCTCTGGATATGGAGGTGATCAGAGAAGACTGCTATGCTTCTACCACCCCTGTTTTCTCTTTGGTGTCAACAAATGCAGACACAGTGATGTAAGAAATATCCAATATGAATCTTTTCTATCAAGTAATATCAAACTTGAGGTTAGGATATGGAATTCAATTATCAATACTTCCTCCACCCGGTAAAATATTATTTATTCCCAGGACCAACTCCGAATTCTAGGAATTTGATGGCCTGGAGCAGTTCCTCCCTCCCCCTTCATTTCCTATGCACCAATTCCTTCATACTCACATAATGATTGTGAGGACTGATGCCAGATATTGGGGAAAAGACACAGTCACCACTTACCTCAGGATAAAATTAAGTGCAGTTCCTGTCTAGGTAAATTCCCTTTTCAAGAGCACACCTGCTAGAGCAAGAGAAGAGTTTGCCTTGCCCAGACACTTATTTGTTGCAATTAACAGGTTAATCTAAGAATTTTGCTCACCCGAGGAACCACCTCAGATGGTCTCATAGGATAAATGCTTCCCACCTGCTTCTGTTGTGGCCCTGTGCCTCTGGAACTCTGCAGTTGAGCAAAAGAACCCCAGGGATGGAAGCCTCTGGACATCATAATGACAGTGGTACAAGGAAATTACCAGGGCAACAAGGACCAGGCTGTACACAGACCAATGGTAAGACATGCTATGGGGAAGAAGAAAGTGTTTCTTTGGTAGTCAGGTCATAGGGATGGGGGGGGGGGGGCGGTTGAGACATGTTATTTGACATGAAACTTGGGTGCAAGAAATCTCCATAAATGGACACTAGGTGCACTGTAAACCAAGGTGGGAAAACAACCTAGGTAGAATGAGCTCTAAAGAAAAAGAGAAACAAAGACACTGAAGAAAGAAAGTATTTCTCTTAAGCAGAAGTGAGCCAAGTCCTCTGCCTGAGCTACAGGCTTCCGTAATATAACCTGCCCTGACCTGACTAAAGAGAGTGAACAATGGGAGACCTCAAACTCAGGTTTGTGTCTCTATCTTTCTTCTGCATGCATGGCACTTTCCATTGTATCCCTCCCCACCCAACCCACTGAGAGAATCTGGGAAAACTTGCATCAGGTCTGGTGGAAGGATCAAAGTCAGTCTCTTGGTGTGGCTATGTCTGACTGTCTTAGAAAATATCACAAGGCAATGTTTTTTTCTGAGTAAAAGTGCCAAAAAAGCTACCAAGGTTTTAATTAGGATGAACTCTTTCAAAGGGTTTCCAAAAGTTTTAAATTCCAGCTTACATGGAGAGGCACAGATTCATTTGATCTCAGGGTACAGCATACTCAACTGGGATAAATTGGGCCAAGCAACATCTTGTATTTGGGGACTGAGAAGTTAAAACCCCTGGATGACAGTGCTTAGCTTCCACAGTTAAAATTCTTATGTAAAGACATATGGATTCAACTGTCTCTGATGGAGACCATGGATTCTTTCCTGTACTCCTTTGCTATTTAAGATCTATCTGTCTAGGCCATAGGCATCATCTCCTCCTATAGCCACACTATACTAACTAAAGTGACTCTTCAAAGAAAATAGTATAACAGTGCACATTTAATTTGTGAGATGTGTATCCTACAGGGCCTTGTGCCCAATTGGGGGATGGGCTCACCCTCACACAGGGTTGAACTAACCTTGAGCAGAAAGGAACAATGTGGTTTGCTCCTATCTTGGCTGTTGACCTTATCCCAATGAAAGCAGCCTTGGCCCTCTTCTTTGCTAATGGTTTCATAAAATGTAAATCCCATGTGACTTCTTTGTTACTATGGCATAAAACAAAACATAGGTATCAATAAACTTCCTGCCATCACTCAGCCCTCTGGGGATTACCTCATTTATACTAAAGGGGCGACACCAGACTTCCACGGTGTGTGTTAGTTGTGATGTGTTATTGACACTTACTGTACATGTTTATTGGCTTCCAGAGGAGATTTAAGAATTTTCTTAAAACTAGCAAGGCATTAAAGGAATCTGGCACTTTTAAATGGTCAGACTTGGAAGACCCATGTAAATTTGCATCAGCCTAGAGCCTGTCTTGAGAAAGCACAAGAACCAAAAGAACAGAACACCAGGTGCTAGGAAAGTCGTTGCCAGCAGGTAGCTGTGACAGTTGCAGGCTGGTGAGATAAGCTATGCTGGGTCTTAGTGCCTCACCTCAGGCCCCCACCTGAAATCTCCAAGACTTTTGCTCTAAGGACTCCTTTGCTCCACATTTGTTGTCTACATGTGCCCCATCATGCACTAGAACACCATGCACTGAACAACGCTTTTGTTTTCACTTCCTAGCCTCCTCCCGTCAATAGAAAATTGGCATCTAAGACAAAGATCAAAACTCAGTCTCTCGCCTCCACACATATGGGTACAAACAATACGCCTCCACACATGTAGACATGCATAAAAACCAATGTACATTACAGACAAATGAATGAAAAGGAGGAAGAGGACCTCAATGAGGACTTCGGTGGTCAGGAGTTCTTGTGCTCCTTTTCCAGTAACCAACTTCTACTCACCAGAGGGCCTTTTACTTCCTCAGTAAATTAACCATACTTCTATTACTAACCATTTGTCTCTATACCAATTCAGTTTTTGGTCAATAGCTAGCTAGTTGGAGAACAGCTAGCCAGCAAGGATGCATTAAATGTTTACTGTTCAAGAAACATTTCTAAAATAGCATTGGTAACAATTCTGTTATTCATGTACTACTCACACAAAAGAGATATTGTTTCCGGGGAAAAAAAAGCCTCAGGGATTTTTATACTCGTGTATTTGTCATGACTAAATTGAACCTTTATCAGAATATAAAATTTAGCCTATGAAAACATCTGCACCATTCTAAATGGTAACTACAAGAAGGTGTTGCCAATGGAAAAGTAATCTGCAATCAGAAACAGTGGCTCATGCCTGTAACTGCAGCCATTTGGGAAGCTGAGCCTAGTACAGCACCTGTGGCACAGGTGTGAGTTCTAGACTGTGTACTGCAAAGAAGTTTGCATCTTCGTAAGGTGATTCTTTTACCCAATGCCAGAATCAGTGAAAAAAATATATCTTAGAGGAAATTAAAGGGCTAAATTACGAAACAGATGGACTTCGGATTCTCAGGAAATATAACCCACCAATTTATCACGTTTTTCCATTATTACATACCTAGGATAGAATTTTATAAATACCTATTTTATCATCTATGTGAAATGAGCTGCTGTGAGTTCTGAGTTATAACTGGCAAATATCATAATCTCCCACGGTTATTTGCTCACTTACCAGTTGAAGGAAGACGTAATTTTGTCAATGACAATCATCCTCTGGCCAGGCATAGTGGCCCATGTTGATTAAAATTCTGGTAGTTAAAGAGGCTGAGATGGGAGAATCCCAGCAACTTACACACCAGTCTGGGCTCTAGCCACAGACTGCAAACCAGGTAGCCTCCACTCCTCCATCGTGGTTGCGCTGCCGGCTGGTTCTGTTTTACCCTGACAGCTTACTGAATTTGAGGAGTGCACTGGACAGGGTGAAATCAAGGGAAAAGGAAGACAGCAGAAAGAGACTGTAAGGGATAGGAGGAAAACTTGTGTGGTCCCAGCATGCAGGGAGCAGGGAGCAGATGTGTGGCCCATGGAGTCCTAAGCCAATGATGCCTTTACTCTGCTGGCCCTTCAGCCACACAAAGAAAACCTAGCACCAAGTCTCAGCCTCTGTCCCAGGTAAGCAGGGTATGCTCATCACCATGTGAGCTTGAGCTCCTCAGTTCACTTAGACCTGCAACATCCTCCCCTGGCTCTGTGATTCAGCCTCTAGGATGTAGGTGGGGATGAGGCAGATAAACAACCATCCTAGCCAATGGGCTGCTCTGGGTACTTCTCTCCTTGCCCAGCCCCATGCACAAATAAAGAGACACCCTTTAGTTGGTACGAATGCTGTGGGCTTGGAATACAAAAGGAGTGGAACTCCCACTTCCCAGAGCTCCTCAACTGGCCTCTTACGCCGCAAGGAAGAAGTCACTGGTAAGGGGACAGAGCTCAATCCTGAGCTCCAGAGCTAACACTTGTTGGTGTCATACCCCCTGAAGTTCTGGAGCTTCAAGAAAGACTATGGGCATTGGCCTGGCACAATCTTCATTCCCCTTGGTTTTGTGGGTCTCCCTCCATACCCCATTCATCACTCTCAACTTGAATGACTTTGAAATCCTGAAACTCCTGCTGGCACTTTCTAAGTACCATGATTATAGTCTTATGCCACTATGTTTGACTTAGGTGGCATCTTTTGAACTTCATTTACAGTGAGCAGTTACACTTAACTATATTAAAAATCCATGTATCTCTGTGAGCCTGGGATTCACCATCTGTAGAATAAGGACAGAAATCTGCCCAGGTCCTTTGATGAATTATAACAGACTTAATGATAAAGAAAAGCACTATTGTTCATAGTTGGAAGACTTTCAGATAGGAGGGCTGATGGGACTCTTCTGTTACAAGAATTAGAACCTGAGCCTGAGTCCTAGCTACCCTTAACCAGCCCAGCCACTTAATTCTCAATAAGTGAATTAAAAGGGCTAAATCAGTTCATTGTGATGTGCCCAACTACAATACAGGTCCTCTGCAGGCAACGTGGGTAAATCTCTCTGATGTTTTGGAATCCAAGTTTCCTCTGCAATGTTGGAGCATACATCTTCAACCTACAGGCCTAGAATATCTGACAGACTTATCTGTGAAGCAGGATTTTTGAAGGACTGTCCTGCCTTGTTTGGCAAAGTTCAGAAGTCACTTTCTTTTCTGTCCTGCTCATCCAACTTGGACAGCATGCTGTCAGCATTCAGTTCAAGGCAATGGCAGTTCCTTGCCAAGTGGATAACTTTTGCCACAAAGGAAGTAAACTCCATATGGAGTTTCTTCAATGCCCATCATCATCTCTGAAGTAGATCAGTGCTGCCAGCAGCAGACATGTCTCACTGTCATAAAAAACTAATGTTATTAAAACACCTTAAATGTCATATTCTGTAGATCTCTAAAGTATTTGAAGATCACTTGCCTATCTAAAATATATTTCTGTTTGACCTACCTAACATGACTACAAGTTTGATTATAATAAATGACTAACTGCTAACCTGCATTTCTTTATTATCATAAATAATTTGTAATAATAACTTGAGAAATTTACATTACATGTCAGATGAGCTGTATAGGTACAATACCTTGAATAAGAGTAGAAATGTATGTACAGTATGTTATAAACAAAATAATTTTAAATTGGTATCAATATACAAAAATCCATATCAATGTAAAATATTTAAATTAGTAGTTGCTTTTTTGCTTTAAACGTAGATTCAATAATATACCATTTTATCTTATTTCTATATCCCCTTTTTCTTTTTAGAAAGATCCCTGAATCTAATCTCCTTTGTTCAGCTTTTTTCCTGACCATTCCCAATAACAACTTGTAACCAACCCTCCTAACCAATAACAAATATCCATAACCCACTGAATGCCCCAAAACCTCCCACATCACTTCTTGGGAATTTGGGTATCATGTTCTTAAAATTACTTCTTGCTGTCTGGGGTAAGGTCATCTTTAGGAGACCCTGAAAAAAATATGGATAACTGTCAAGTACTGGGAGAGCTAGCTATATCATTTGTTGTCCAGTCTTTGTGTAAAGTGAAGAGCTTGTCTCAAGTACTGGCTAGAGTAGTCTGTGAGGCTGGATCATCTCAGCCAGTCAACTTGAAATTCTCATGAGCAGTTTGTAGTCCAAAGCAGATCTTTAGGTGGTGTTTGTCAGCTTAGTGTCACTACCACAGTCCAGGTGGAATCATTGTAGTGGAGCCCCATCCTCCTTTTGGAGCATTAAAAGGTTGTTTTTAGGCATGGTCATACAGAAAACTTAAACATTTTAAATGTCATATGCAGCAGATTTCAAAGAAGTTAAAGGACTATAATATGTTATATACATCCAAATGTACAAAAACTTAATTCCTAGTTACCTGATAGAGACTCAAACCCAAAATCATGTACAGGAAGCTAGATGAAGCCCTTTTCTAGAATTAGTTAGTACTCTATATGACCATAAATATCATGACAAAAAGTTTAATATATATTAATCTTATAAATTTTGATATAATATTTATAACTTAATATGGTGATATATTGTATACCCTAGTAAACTTTTCTGAGGATCAGAGAACAGAGCCAGCCACTAGATTAGACATTGAGGTCAGGCAGTGGTGACACACACCCTTAATCCTATCACTTGGGAGGCAGAGATTTATCTGGATCTCTGTGAGTTCAAGGCCACACTGGAAACAGAGCCAGGCAGTGGTGGCACACACCTTTAACCCCAGTACTAGGAAGAACACATGCCTTCAATCCCAGGAAGGTGTATCTGAGCAGAGAAAGATCTATAAGGCACAAGGAAACAGGAACTCATTCTCTTTAGACTGAGGATTTCAGAGAGTTAAGAGCTAGTGGCTGGCGGTTCTGCTTCTCTGATCTTTCAGCTTTCACCCTGATACCCAGCTCTGGGTTTTTTATTGTAAGACCACTTAAGATTCAAACAACACCAAGAAAATTTTATGAGTCCAAATATAACCAAAAGATTATGGGATTAATGTCAATAGAATAGTCCCTTAATTTTGGCTTCTCTTCTATCCCATATCAGGTGGATCTTCTGACATAAGAGTGAGATTTTGGATTTTCCTTTTAACAAGAATGCTTGGGTTTAGAGGAGAGAGCTACACTCCAAATTGAAAGCCAGCTTTAATTTCTAATTGAACTGGGACTATAAAAAGACTATTTGCATTATGCATCTGTAAAGAACAACAGAAACTAACACTTGGAAATATTTATGAAATTTTATCCTGTTGGAAATGTGATATATCAATAGGTCAATTTGCTCTTTTTCTTGGGACATTTTTTTTCTGGATGATGTGTCCTTTTTCTTCAGATATCTCATTAGTCCAGTGGTCTTCAGATTCCTTGGCTGATTACTTCCATTCTCCTGGAAAGACAAAAACAAAACCCTGCCCTAACCCTGACTTTGGGGATTCTCCCTTTTGGCAAGTTATATCTGATCAAATGAAAAGCATTTGTTAGTCTTATATGTTAGTTTAGATTGAATGGTTATGCTGGTTGATGAACTATCATCTTTTCTAATCAAGAGGTCATTCTTGTTGAAATCTAATCTTTATCAATGTTGATGGTTCCTTTGATAGCATTTCTTCTCCTGGAGAAACAAAAGCAAAACCTCTTCCCCAATGTAATACATATCCTGATTTCCATTCTGAGATCAACACATCTTTAAAGTATATATGCTGATTTAATTCTGTAGTTTTTTTCTATTATTCAATGTCCTTCTGAAGCTGTTATTCCTTTCTCATTACCATCTAGAAAATTAAGTTAATACAGCATTATACAATCTATCTCTGTGAGTCTTTATTAACCCTTTCTGTTTATTTAGCATATCCTTTATAGTTCAATTAGATCTTTCTATAACTGCTTGCCATATAGGATTGTGTGGTATACCTGTAGTATACTTTATGTTGTAATATGCAAAAAACTGTTTCATTTTACTAGAGACCAACGATGGAGCATTGTCAGTGTTAATTTGTACAGGTATACCCATGATGGTCATAACTTCTAACAAATGTGTGATTATAGAATCAGCTTTTCCAGAACTCAAAGCAGGTGTCCATTGAAATCCTGAATATGTATCTATGATGTGGTGAACATATTTTAATTTTTCAAACTCTTCAAAATGAGACACACCTATTCACCAAATTTTATTTCTTTGAGTACCCTTTGGGACACTTCCTGCAAATACTGGGGTTTAGTTATACAAGTACCAAGTAGGGTATTTTTTTTTATAATTTCCTTGTTTTCTTGCCAAGTGATGGAAAAATCCTTTTTCAGGCCTTTGCTATTGACATGGTGCACTCAATGAAATTCTGAGGCCTCCAGCACATTTCCTACTAATAACTGATCAATGTCATTATTACCTTGTGCTAGAGGCCTGGCAGACCTGTGTGGGATCTGATATGTGTCATATATATGGGATGATTCCTATTCCTCACTAGTTCCTGTAATCATATAAATAATGAAGTTAATTCTGATTCATCAGGAAGAAGTTCATCAGTTTTGATTTATAAAACAACTCTTTCTGCATATTGAGAGTTAGTAACTATATTAAGAGGTTCTATAAAATCCATTAATACCATCAGAATAGCATATAATTTTTACTTTTGGACAATATCATAAGGGCTTTGAGCCACTTAAATTTCCTGATTTATAACTGATTTATAACCTGCTTTTCCTGATTTGTTTGCATCAGTATAAAATGTAGGGGCTCCAGAAATTGGTGTTCCCTACACAATGTGAGGGAGGATCTAGTTAGTTCTACTGATAAAGAGGAAATTTCAACATTAACAAAAGGTACTACAATTTCTGCTGGGTCCATTCCTGTCAAGTGACAAAGTTTTAATTTTCCTTTTTGAATCAACTCAAAACCTTTTCCAAATATGTCTTTAACATTTTACTTTGTTTGTGTGATTAAAAAGTATCCATTCTAAGATACTGTCTTCTTGCTGCATTAAAATACCTATAGGGAAATGTATAAAGGGTAAAATAACCAGGATGCAATAAAGTTCCAGATCCACAGGATCCACATGTGCATCCTGTAATTTCTTTTCCACCAAAACCAATTCTCTCTCAGCTTCAGCTGATAATTTTCTTGGAATATTTAAGTGTTTGTCATCTTGTAAAGTTTCAAGCAAATTACTCAGTTCTTGATTTGTTACTCCAATAGTTAGCTGTAAATAGGTAATGTCTCCCCACAATTTTTGAAAGTCATTAAGAGTTCTCAATTGATCTCTCCTGATATGTACCTTTTTTGGATTTAATTTTTGTAAACTTATATCCTAAATAATTAGTAGAATCTCTTCTTTGTATTTTTTCAGGAACAATTTTGTAATCCCCAACAAGGCAAAATTTTCTTTAGTTCTTCAAACATTTTCTCTAAAGTATCTACATTTGAATCAGCTAGTAAGATGTTATCCATATAATGCTAAACTATAGATTGAGGACACTGTACATGAATTATTTCCAATGACTATTGAACAAAATATTGGCACAGGGTAGGGCTGTTTAAAATCTCTTTGGGGAGAACTTTCCATTAATATCTCTTAACAGATTGAGAATCATTTTAAGTAGGCACCAGAATGGCAAATTTTTCTCTGTCCTTTTTCTTGTAAATGTATAGTGAAAAAACAGTGTTTTAAATCAATAACTATAATAGACCATACTTTAGATAACAGAGAAGGCAGGGGAATTCCATGCTGTAAAGAGCCAATTGGCTGAATCACCTTATTAACAGCTCTTAGATCTATTATCATTCTCTATTTTCAAGATTTCTTTTCAATAATACAGGAGAATCCCAAGGAATGTTCAATTCCTCAACATGTTGAGCATTTAGCTGCTCCTGTACCAGTTGTTCTAAGGCCTGTAATTTCTCTGATGTCAAAGGCCATTGTTCCATCCAAGCAGGTCTATCAATCAACTAAAAGTAGGGCTGTTGGTACCTTTGAAAGATCAATGGCTGTTGTGCCCTGTTTTTGTACAACTTGAATGGTCAATGGCTATTCTTTTTAATACCTTCTAACAGTTTCCCCAGAAACATACATTAATTTATGATTTCTTCTCTGTCTTTCTGGCCCTATACATTTGCGTCACACTTTGTTTTACCCAAGATAAAGTTCCAATCCCTAAAAGCTGAACATTTACCTCCTGAAGAGGCCAATTTAGATGCCAAGATTATGTTGCAATTATTATTACATCTGCCCCTATCTACATACCTTCAATTACACTGTCATTTATTCATATTTTTAGCTTTGATCTTTGATCAATTATAGAAATCTGCCAAAATACTTGCATTCTCCTGAAATTTTTGTTTTATCTTCTAAAGCTGTTCTATCATCCAGAGCAGTATGGTTTTTTACAATAGGCATTATATCCTTTACTTGCTCTGAGGAGGAGTTTCCCCCATGGTGATCAGGAATGAGTGAAACAAATTTGACATGGGGGCCTGTGAGAGGCCCCCCAAGGCATTTTCTGACTGCAAAGGGTTATCCTGTCTGTCCCTTATTGATCTGCATTCATTTGTCCAATGTCAGCCTTTGTTGCACCTTCTGCATAATCCAGAAGGGAGGGGCCTTCTCTTTGCATTTTCCCAGAGAAAACATTGTTTCTAGGAATGCCCTGTCTACAATCCCTTTTTAGGTGATCTTGTTTGCCACAATTAAAACACGTGACATTTTGATTTTTCTTCAAGCTTCTGGAAATCATCTCTCCCATTCAAGCATCATCATGGTTATGAGATATTGACTGTATCTCGCATCCATTCCTCTATAGGTACTGATCTTGCCTTTAAAGGCCTTATTACCCTTTTGCATTGTGAATTAGCATTTTCAAAAGCCAAAGATTTCAGTTAGCATTTGTCTAGCTTCCTGATTTGGTATCATTCTATTTACAGCTGAAATCAATCTTTGTAAAAAAAAAAAAAATCAGTGAAGGTTTCTTTTGGGCCCTATATAACTTTAGTAAATGAATCAGTTCTCTTTCTGACTTAAATTCTGTCCCAAGCATTCAAAGCTGCTTCATGGCATAGAGCTAGGGAGTGGTCATTATATAGACTATCTTTATGCATCAACATAATTGCCCTCTCCACAAAGTTGGTCTTGGGAGATTTCAATACCTCTAGCCCTACTTCATGTTTAATAGTCCTAGCCTCATCTTTCCACCAGGTCCTCCACTGGAATTGAGGACAAGGCTCCAATTCTGCTGTAACCAAGTCTTTCCAGTCTTGTGGGACATTTCTGTTACTAGTGGACCATGAATTTAATGCCTGCTTTACAAAAAGGGAATTCATACCATGAGACTATTGTTTCCTTAAATCCAGTCAGCTCTTACACAGCGTTGGGGATATGTTATTTTGCAGTTATTTCTGTAAGGTGACTGGATAAATTAAGGTTGATTGTTAACCTTGGGCTGTTTCTAATTTTTTAATGTAATGTTGTGGTTAGATTTCCTTTAAATTCCTCTGACTGGGCCTGAATATCTCTACGGTCTATTTTAGTAAACTTTTCTAAGACCTATATCTTGGCATTCATTATCAACCAACTTTTTTAGGGATAAACCAAGAATTATCAAACCGAAAATAAGAATTATCAAAATGATAAGTAACACTATGTCCATCTCAGTTGTTTATTCCTTCATTTAATTGTTCCATTTTTAAACCATCTGTAACCATACAGAGACCTAACTTCCTCCATTGTAATAGTGTTTCCCATCTTTTAATGTGGGGGAAAAACTTTTTTAAAACTAGTTTCCTCCTTTAAGAACTCCCAATTCTCTCACCAATTCTGCTGATGACAGTGAAGATGATGGTGAAGTGTGAGGCTGATTGCTGCTGCATAGAACAGTAAAAGCCTGGCCAGGTGTCAAGGCAGCTTCTTAGTGTGGCAGAAGCCTGAGGAGGGGGTCCAGAAAATTCCCACAACCCACCAGGAGAGGGAACTGGCTGTCTGAAAAACGCACAGGGGATGGTGGGAAAGAATCATGTGCAATGGAAGCTGCCTGGAGGCAGAGCTGGCCAGTGGTAAGGGGCTAACTTCAGAGGGATTTGGAGCCCAAGCACCTATAGAGTTTGCTGCAGAGAGCCTGCAACAGAAAAATCCCAAACTTGCTCAGAGGGCTTGGGGAGAAAAAGAAAACCTAGCCCATGAAGCAGTGACTCTGGTGGGAGCCCCTATGTGTAGCTGTGGCTTGTGCCAGTGGCTACAAAGCCATTGGCAAGTGGCTTCTTCATGAATTCATGCCCCAAAAGTTAGACACCAGATGAAGTGTGATCCTGATGCATCTTATCAATAAAAACCAGGAGTCAAATATTGGGGTAATAACCTGAAAGATCAGAGAAGCAAAGGAGAAGCCACTAGTGACTTCTTACCTATCCAGATTGTCAGACAGAATGGGGGCTGAGATCCTGTCTGCACCCACCTTAGACTCCTATCTCTACCTCCTGATTGCTGGGATTAAAGGTGTGAGCCTCCCAATTGCTGGTATTAAAGTGTGACACACCACAGACTGGCCTCTATGGTTAACTTGTGGCTAGCTCTACTCTGATCTCCAGGCAAGCTTTATTTATCAGAACACACACGCATGCACACACACACACACACACACACACACACACACACACACACACATACACACACAAAATCATACAACGTCCTGCTGAAGGAAATATGTAACTGGGGGTATGCTTTCATAATTTACATCTGCACACTTTTTCCAGTTCCCACTCTCTGGTCCATGCTGCGGGTTGAGTATGTGAGATCATAGCCTTCTGCTATAGATGACATGTCTGACACCTGTCGCCATGCCACTTTCATGGTTATCCTGTATCCTTCTGGAACCAAGAGTCAAACTCTTTCATAAGTTGAAGCAGACATTATGTTTTATCACAACAGAAAAGGAACAAATACACATTCATACCTGAATTAGTTATTTCATGTCACTGAAGAGATGTATGAAACCTAAAAGGGTTACTTTATTATTTAAATGTGTAGGGCTTCGTCCATATGAGTTTGCAGGTACAAACAAAATAGAGGCATTATAGTACTTGAATAGATTGTTGACATTGTCAGATTTTTTTTCTCCAGAATACTCTTGTATTATGTAAATGTGTTGGGTAAAGATATTACCAAATCCTTTATAGCCAGATTCCCTTCAGTATGAGTTTTTTTCACATTCTCAAAGACTATTGTGGTATGTACAGGCTTTAACAGAATGATTGCATTTAAAAGAATGCTTTAGAGTAAAACTTTTTTACTCTTGTTTAAAGACTACCATGAAGTGCAAAACCCTACCACACTGACCTCATTCATAGGGTTTCTCTGCAGTTTGATTTTTTTCTCATGATTTCAAAGACTGCAGTAATGTCCAAAGGCTTTAGCAAATTGATTACATTCACATGGTTCAATCCAGAGTAAGTTTTTTTGTGTATTTGGAGTCTACTGTTACATGTAAAGGCTTTCTGACATTGATTACAATCATAGGGTTTCTCTCCTGTATGTGTTCTTTTATGCCTTAGAAGATGACTATGATGTGCAAAGGCTTTACCACATTGATTACATTCATAGGGCTTCTCGCCAGTATGTGTTCTTTTATGCATTAGAACTTGACTGTAACGCGCAAAGGCTTTACCACACTGATTGCACTCATAGGGTTTCTCTCCGGTATGTGTTCTTTTATGCATTAGGAGATGACTATAACGTGCAAAGGCTTTATCACACTGATTACATTCATAGGGTTTCTCTCCAGTATGTGATCTTTTATGTACTCGGAGACTACTATCACATGCAAAGGCTTTACCACACAGATTACATTCATAGGGTTTCTCTCCAGTATGTGTTCTTTTATGCGTTAGAAGATGACCATGACACGCAAAGGCTTTCCCACATTGATTACATTCATAAGGTTTCTCTCCAGTATGAGTTCTTTTATGAATTTGGAGATGGCACTTTTGTGAAAAAGCTTTTCCACATTGATTACATTCATAGGGTTTCTCCCCAGTATGTGTGCTTTTATGTTTTTGGAGACTACTACTAAATGCAAAGGTTTTACCACATTGATTACATTCATAGGGTTTCTCTCCAGTATGTATTCTTTTATGGGTTAGAAGATTACTCTGTCGTGAAAAGGCTTTACCACACTGATTACATTCATAGGGTTTCTCTCCAGTATGTATTCTTTTATGTATTTGGAGATATCTGTGTTGTGAAAAGACTTTACCACATTGATTACATTCATGGGGTTTCTCTCCAGTATGTGTTCTTTTATGGGTTAGAAGATTACTCTGTCGTGAAAAGGCTTTACCACATTGGTTACATTCATAGGGCTTCTCTCCAGTATGTATTCTTGTATGTGTTAGAAGATGATTGTGACGTCCAAAAGCTTTACCACACTGATTACATTCATAGGGTTTCTCTCCAGTATGTGTTCTTTTATGTGTTTGGAGACTACTGTCCTGTAAAAAGACTTTACCATATTGATTACATGCATAGGGTTCCTCTCCGGTATGGATTCTTTCATTTCTTTGAAGATGATTATGATATGCATAGACTTTAACACTTTGAATGTATTCAGAAGGTTTCTCTCCAGTATGACTTCTTTCATGCCTGTAATGATAATTGGCACATGTAAAAGCTATACGACATTTATTACGCTTTTGAATATATCTGTATGAATTAATTCTACAATTTGGTCTAATTGTAAAGAGGAATCACATCTGAAGGTTTTATCACTTTGTTTACACTCATGTTGTTTCCCTTCATTAAGGGTTGTTTTGCATCTTTGAATATGCATGTGATGGTAAGATCCTTTATTACACAGTTCACATTTATAGCACCTTTTTTCTATATGAGATTCTTCACATATTTGAAGAGAACTGGAAAAACTCAGACCTTTACCACACATATTGCATTCACAAATCTTCCTATAATGTGAGTCATACTACATTTGCAAACTGAACCAGGACAAGCAGAAGTATTTACACATTCCTAGTACTCATAAGGCTTTTCTGCAGTGTGAGTTTGTTGATGTATTTCCAATGAAGCTGGAAAAGCAATTACTTGAAACTGGAATCACATTCAACAAGTCTTTTCAAAGTGGGGACTGCCACATATTTTCTAATTGTTCTGAGAGGAAGAGGGGTATGTGGCTTCTTTTGATATCCCTATGTTCTTATGGCTTGTATCCAGAGTGACATATGATATACTTATTAAAGGGAGAACAACAAATAAAAGTTTTCCACATTGCATTCACACAGTTTGACTTTCTGTTCCTCATAGACATATGGTATAGGGATTAAGGTTTTTCCACAACAATCCCCCATTGGCTCTTAACTTTAACTACCCCTCCTCTCACTAAACTTAAGCAAAATTACAAAAAATATATGAGTAACACAAGCTTCACTGTGGACTATTTGCTTATTAGAAGGTTTTGGACATATACTTATCACCTATTCGATGTGCACACCTTTTGTAATATGAGTGGTATGAAACTAAAAGGATTGGCAATTCTACAGCATTATTCTCATGAGATTATAATTCAAATGGTAATATCTGTTAAGGCATTGTTTCCTTATCTTCTTAAAGTAAATCCTTGCAAACACAATTCACCTACTTCACATTGAGGTATACGATTTTGTGAAAAATTAATAATCATCAATGCACTTTAAGCTGTGTATATTTACATGGTTGCTTTCTTTAAAACTTCCAGATACATTAAAATTTCTTCAGAGGCCTATTTGTATTAGCTTGCACATGAAAATTACCTTCCATGTCTTCTAGAACTTTTACAATGTTCTTCAATATTATGATCTTCCCATGTGTACCCTAAAATATAGTACCAGAAAATGTATATTATTGGAAATTGTGCAAAATTTAACTTTTAATTTAATTTAATTTAATTTGTGCAAAAATTATCTTCAGTGAACCTAAGCACCATGCCTGGTTTATTCACATCATCCTTCCTCAGTCTCAATCATAATTACAGAAAAGCATCAATAACCAAGAAACAGTCGCCTATTTATTATCAAATGTGAATGAAAATTCACAGTCTTACCTATAGCAGTGAGGTTCCAATAGGTCTCCAGCATCACATCTTTGTAGAGACTCTTCTGGGAAAGATCCAGCAAAGCCCACTCTTCCCGACTGAAGTCAACATGCACATCATCATAGGTCACTGCATTCTATAATATCCCATGCATGTATACAAAAGAAAGTGATACTGACAACATTGTAAATGTATACTTATTTGAAAATACAGTCATATAATTCTCATGCTTCCCACACTATTCCATGACACAGAAGTTCCAATGTAATACCAAGTCACTTTAGAAGGAAACTGAATAGGAGGGTCAACCCTGTTATTTCTGCACCTGAGAAATGCCTATTAACAGACATAGAGAGACAAGTAAACAGATCAACAGTACTGAGTACACATCAAAGAAATTCTATGAACAATTACTAACTACAAAAAAAAAAGGATGGGCAAGCTAGGTGTACTTGCTAATGCCTCTAATCACAGAACTCAGAAAGCAGGGGCAGGTATGTCTGCCTCTGAGTTGAATGTTAGCCTCATTTATGCAATCAGTTACACACAGCTAGAAGTATATATTAAGAATCTATCTCTCCTGCAAAAATCAATCAAACAAACAAAAAAAGATAGAAAGAACTCAGAAGATTTTTTTTACTGAAATTCCTACCAAGAGTTATGTATTCACTTCAGTTCTATAATTCATATTCCAGAAACCTGAAGTGCCTACCTAAACTGTAACATTAATAAGATCTTCCTAAAAGGTACTGCATGTTTAAACAGGTAAAAATGGACAGATGAAAACATGAGCAATGTAAATACTGATCATAAGTAATCAACATAGGGCAGGAGAAATGGTTCAGCAGTAAAGAGCTCTTGCTGGTCTTGTATATAGGTGGCCTCAATTACCAGTACTTACATGGAGGGTCACAACTATCCATTATTCCAAGCTCAGGGGTTTTGAGACCATCATTTGACTACTGTGAGATCAGGTACCCATGGGGTACAAATCCATGCATACAGACAAAAGATGCATTTTCATTTAAAAAAATTCAAACCAAACAAAATAGGCAAGAAGAATGTCACACACCTGCAATCCAATGACTCAGAATGCTCAGGCAGTATTAGCATCATGAATACATGCCATCCTGGGAAACAGAATGATATTCTCTGCGAAATTTCAAAACTCACAATGTTGGTGAAGCTCAACACATCAGCACATACTCCACATATACAAGAACCTACATTTTGGGCCCATCACCCAATAATATAAGAACAAAACAAAACCCTGGAATGTTGGCTCACCTTTAATCCCACCACTTGGGAGCTAAAGTCAGGTAGAGTCTGAGTTTGAGGCCAGCCTGGTCTACAGAGCTACTTTCAGGATAGCCAAGGCTACATAGACAAACGATGTCTTAAAAAAAAAAAAAAAACCAGCAGGCTGGCAAAATTATATATTTGCTTCTACTGTATTTTATGTGATTTAGGGATAGAGTCTATAATGGTGGTGAAGTTATGATAGCACAAGAACAAAGCTGGCTGATCAGTGTCAACCACAACACAGCAAACACAAAGAACGGGAAATGGGTTGAAGCTATAGACACCCATCTCCCATCCCCAATGAGGAATTTCATCCAAAAAGGTTTCTCCTACTAAAGGTTCTACAGTCACCAAAAGAGACCCACCAAAGAGAGACACATGCTCAAATACATCATCTATTTTGGGAGGTTTTTCATTCAATCAAATAGAACTTGGCCCAAGTCACTATAGGCTCATGGTCATCCATGAAAGACATGCATTTAGTCACTTCAATGATCCTCAAAGTCTACAACAGCCCCTATTGCTGTTCAAATATCCAAAATCTCTTCTGACACTCAAGATGAGCTCTCGACTATGACAGCTTGTAAAATCAGAAAACAAGTCCTATCTTTCCAATATACAATGGCACAAAATACCCATTCCCATTTCAAAAGAGAAGAATGGGTACATAATGAGGGATGATTGGGCTAAGGCGAGACTGAAATCCAGCAGGACAACCATCAAATCCTATAGCTCTGTCTCAGAAACATGGGGATTCAGTTATAGAAGGCTTAGAAAGCCCTATCCCTGCAACTTCTCACACATCTCTCTCTTTGGTTATTTCAACTCCATATACACAGCTCTCCATGGCAGATGTTTCATAGCTTGGCTATCTCAACATTTTTGGTCTCAAAATATAGCCCAGGCTCATCTTAACAGCATCATGCAATGAACTCTCACAATCTCCTCACTGGGACTCTGACTCTGCCATTTACAGATGCCTACAACAGTGCTGAACTGAAACCAACCACAGACTGAGATCCATGACCTGAAATTTTGCATCTTTTTTTGTTTCCAGAATCAGTACAACATTGATGATTCCTCCTAATTTGGCTTCTAAGTTGTGATGAACCCTGTCATGCTTGGACCAGAGTTGCAGCAGGTTTTATATGAAGTTGCTTCCTGGGACTAGGAAACATGTTGCCTAATCCTGCCATTAATTGAGGGCATAGAAGGATGGATTCTTACCTTAAGCTACCTTGCTAGACTTTCAACATAGAGCAGGGTCATCTCTTTAATGGTGATAATCTCCCTGAAAATTCCTGCCTCTGTTTCAGCACTTGGCTGCCATCTGAAACTACCTAATACTGTTTTTCCCTATAACTCACGGATTTTCATTTATTTCTTCTTGTTGCTGCCCCCATCCCCTGTAGTCCTGAATGAGTCATCAATAATAGCCATCTAAGAGATTCAATATTCAGCCCATAATTTTTTTTTTCTTTTTGGTTTTCAAGACAGGGTTTTTCTGTGTAATGGCTCTGGCTGTCCTGGAACTTGCTCTGTAGACCAGGCTGGTCTCAAACTCACAAAGATCCCTCTGCTTTTGCCTCCTGAATGCTGGGATTAAAGTTGTATGCCACCCAGTTCAGTCCATTATTTTTTAATTTTGCCTTACTAATTTTCTCAAGCCATGGACATAAGAAAGGTTTGGGGCCAAAATATCACACAAATTACCTCTAGCTTAATTTATCATGGAGTCTATTTCCCACTGAAATTCTATGACCTGGACCTCCACTGTCTGTCATTACTCTCAACACACATCTTCCAGGTCCTACAAGAGCAGCTAATTAAGCTCTGCATACAGTATTCTATGGCTTTTGCCATCCAATGTTCTGATATCTTCCACATCCCTTTAAAAGATAACATTTTCAGGTTCTACCCAACATCAAAATCACTTTTTGTGCACTATTTTTGTTCCAACTTGCTTCTCTGGTGCTATGATTAAATTCTCTAACCAAAAGCATATCAGGTAGTGAATGGGTTTATTTGGCTGATTCTGTCAGATCACAATCCATCATTGTGGGAGCTTAGGACAGAAACTCAAGTTAGCAACTGAAGGCAAAAAGAATGGGGAAACTTTGTTTCCTGGATTTCTCTCTTACTTGGCCATTGTATCAAGCTATGGTAGCTCTCTTATCCAGCCCAGGCCTACTTTCTTAGGGATATTGCCACCCTCAGTGGAAGGGACTTCACATATCCATTATCAATCAACACAACCTCTCAAAGACATAGCAATCAGCCATTCTGATGGAGGTACATCCTCAATTGATAGTCCATCAGATGACTACAGGGTATGACATGTTGACAGCTGGATCTAACTAGGGCACAGAGACAATAATATATAAGAAAGTTTTAAAGATCTTGCTCCGGACGTCCCTTTTGGAACAGTCGTGAGTACCCTTCCTTGCCCCAGACCCCATCCCTGGGCACCAGCCACTCCAGGGAAGACCTGCCCAACTCGGCCCCAGGTTCTGGCCCACCGGGCAGGTTCCCTGCTAGCCCCACCGGGAAGGATCCCCTTCTCCAAGACCCCTGGCAGACCCTGCAGTCTCCACGCCCTGCCCCCCACGCCCATCCGCCTGAGCCCCAAGCCTCTTCCTGAGACTCAGAGGCCGGCCCCCAGCTCCCATCTTGCTCCGGACGTCCCTTTTGGAATACTGGTGAGTACCCTTCCTTGCCCCAGACCCCATCCCTGGGCACCAGCCACTCCAGGGAAGACCCCTGCCCAACTCGGCCCCAGGTTCTGGCCACCGGGCAGGTTCCCTGCTAGCCGCACCGGGAAGGATCCCCTTCTCCAAGACCCCTGGCAGACCCTGCAGTCTCCACGCCCTGCCCCCATGCCCATCCGCCTGAGCCCCAAGCCTCTTCCTGAGACTTAGAGGCCGGCCCCCAGCTCCCATCTTGCTCCGGACGTCCCTTTTGGAACAATCGTGAGTACCCTTCCTTGCCCCAGACCCCATCCCTGGGCACCAGCCACTCCAGGGAAGACCTGCCCAACTCGGCCCCAGGTTCTGGCCACCGGGCAGGTTCCCTGCTAGCCCCACCGGGAAGGATCCCCTTCTCCAAGACCCCTGGCAGACCCTGCAGTCTCCACGCCCTGCCACCAACGCCCATCCGCCTGAGCCCCAAGCCTCTTCCTGAGACTTAGAGGCCGGCCCCCAGCTCCCATCTTGCTCCAGACTTCCCTTTTGGAACACTGACTTCCCTTTTGGAACACTGGTCTGTCTGAACCAAGTGTGCGGATAAGGCCAAGAACGAACCACAAGGAGATGGGCAGACGTCAAGGCAGAAACATATACAACAAAATGAAAAGCAATACAGCATCACCAGGCCCTAGCCCTCCTCCAACACCTAGACCTGAACATCAGAAATTGGAAGAAGCAGAAGAAAACAGCCTTATGAATGACATCATGAAGAAGCTAGAGGCTTGCGTAGAGGAAAAGACAAAAAAATGTGAAGAACGCTGTAAACAACTAGAGGAAAGGGCAAACAAATTAGAAGAAATCAATAAAGTCCTGGGAAGAAAACAATAAAATACTGAGAGAAAATCAAGAAAAATCAATGAAACAAATGAAGGAAACAGTCCAAGACCTGAAAAGGGAAATAGAAAAAATGAAGAAGACACAAACAGAGGGAATGCTGGAAATAGAAAATCTGAGAAAACGATTGGGAACTTCAGATGCAAGTATAATCAACAGAATGCAAGAGATGGAAGAGAGGATCTCTAGCGTTGAAGATACAGTAGAAGAAATACATTCATCAGTCAAAGAAAACACTAAAACCAACAAAGTCATGAACCAAAATGTCCAAGAAATTTGGGACACCATGAAAAGACCAAACCTAAGAATAATAGGGGTCGAAGAAGGAGAAGAATACCAACTCAAGGGCACAGAAAATATATTCAAC